CACCACTGGTCCTGAAGGGATCATCTGTCCTGGATTCCCTGTGTTTCCAGTTCCTATCTGTACCAGTGTATATCCTCTGGTCTAGCCGGGTTCGTAAGGTAGAATTGGGATCATGATAGTGGGGGGGAGGAAACAATTATAAGAACTAGAGGAAAGTTGTATGTTTCATTATTGCTACACTGCCCCATGACTGGCTTGTCTCCTCCCTGAGACCCTTCTGTAAGGGGATGTCCAGTTGCCTACACATGGTCTTTGGGTCCCCAATCTGCACTCCCCCTCATTCACAATGATATGATCTTTTGTTCTTTGATGCCTGATCCCTTCGACACCTCGTGATCGCACAGGCTGGTGTGCTCCAAAACAAGTTTTATTGGCATATACTTCATGAAGCATTCAATTTAACCATGCAACCTATTAATAAGATTTGTGCATCATTACCACAAACAATTTCAGGATATCGTCTTCTACTGAATTGTAAGCCCCACATTTGCCCCGAGACTGTAACTCTTTTCGCAGGTAACAAGCCTCAACTTCCTCCAAAGGAACATCGGGTGGGTTTCAAACCTTGTGATTAGTCTAACCACTACACCACTGTGGGATTATAAAGAGACTTTTCCCCAGCTTTATCTCCCCCAAAGGCATGGGGGGAGGTCAGATGCTTACAGACATCCTCCCTGGAGGCAGTTAGTCACCAGACTATGGTAGGCCCTGCTCCCTGCTGTCAAGGACAATGGACTGGCCTGCAGTCATGGATTTGGTTCCTGTAGGTGGAGTTCACACCCTACAGATAATGGTCTCTATCAGTTGAGCCAGGGAACAGGTCAAACCAGCTCAGTGACATCCAAGTTAAACTGCCATCCTGAATGTAGGATCCGCCCATCTTGTCACATGTATACCCCCAATCCCTCCTCTTCCTATTGCGTGTATATCCCTAGATTGTCCCCCGCTCATTGCTGTAAACCTATAGTGCAACCCCTTCCTGCGACGTATGTCTTTACCTGTAATTAGTGGGCTTGCACACTCACCCCGGAGTTATATGGGCCGGGGTTAATAAAGGCTCTCTGGGCTCCTCCCTTGACCTCTCATTGTTGCCGGCTCCCCCTCCTCTCTCCTGTCCTCACTCCCTTGTTCCCTTTCCCCTTGTTCTCCTTCCTTCCCCCTCTCTCCACATGGACCACCAAGCGGGTCTGAGGTGAGCATTGCTCACAATGTGTGACTCCATTACTTCAATCTCTCTTCTATCTCTCATGGTCTCGATGACTTTAATATTTATGTATCTCAACCGTACAATGGTGCCTATTGAACCCGTGATTACTGGTAGGGGCTGGCTCCCCCTCCAACCGCACACCACCAAACCTCCCGATATCTAGTCAATATCAACTCATGGGGAGCCCGTAGGGCAGAGTAGACCTGCCCCTCCGGCTTCTGAACGCTGAAAATATTTAAGAGAGCAGACAGTCTCTTCCTTTTCCCCTGAGGAGTGGCTGATGGGTTTTGAACTGCTGATGCTGTGGTTGGCAGCCCAATGGGTAAGCACTACACCCCAGGGTTATTACCCAGGCCGGTGGGTGCTAGAAAGGAGGCCTGGCTCAGAATGGGGTTGCAGAGATGCGATTATATGGAGAAACCGCGGGTGCCTGATGCCTGCTTTTGCCCTGCGAAGTACAAATGGGTTAGCACCTGTGGTAGTTACATAATCTGGTGTCAATTTGAGGATTAAGAGTATAGGGGTGGAGTCTAGCCTGTCAGTCAGGATATAGCAATGAGGCCTCTGTGTGGGCATGGCCTTCCCCCCCAGGATTCTGGGAATTCCTGGATTTCCTCCTTGGAGGCAGGAGACACCTCTCTCGCTCAATCCCTGAGATGCTCTACTAAGAAGACAGATGGCGCTTTGCTGATGTAGCCCATGCCCTGGGAACTGGAGGAGCCACTTAGAGACGTGGAGACCCGTTAGCACTGGATCCACAAGACTTTGCACCCACTGGCCTGTGATCTTCCTGCATTTGGCGTCATTGCATGTGTCTTGTGAGTCTGAAGAGGACTTTATAGATTGGTATTGGACAAATGGGCTAATATCAGACTTGTGGACTTGATCTGGACGGGGCTGGGATGTTTTCTCAATATGCAATTGCTCTTGTATATAAACCTTTTTCTTATACACATGAGTGTCTATGAATTTGTTTCTCTACCCAGACTAACACAGCACCCGGCGGCTAACCCAGAAGAGAGAGGTTCGTGCCCATCCAGTGGCACATTGCAAAAAGGGCCTGGCGCTTCGCCTCCAAAAGGCCGCAGCCTCTGGAGACGTCATGGGCACCAGCTCTGTTCTCACACACCGGACGCCAGGAGTTGGAATCTGGATCTGAGCTTGCTGGGTTTAAAATGTTTTAAATGAAGATCAACCAGCTGAGTGAATTTCAAAATGTGGGGATCGTTCACAGCACTACCTACTGCTGGGCTGACGGTTCTGACCCAACAACAACCTTCGATGGCGTTTCTGAGGCTGGACATCTTTACGGGGGCTGAAAGCCTGGGCTTTGTCCCTTGGGGTGGCTGGCGGGTTTGAACCACAGGCCTGTGGTTCGCAGTACAACTGCCCAACCCACTGTGCCGTCGGGACTTGTAGTAAGAGCCCTGGTGCTGCTTGGTGCCATCGGGTCAGTTCTGACTCAGAGTGACCCTGTGTGCCCCAGGAAACCCTGCCCAGGCCTGTGCCCTGTTCACCGCGGCTGCTTTTAGAGCCCAGTGTTGCAGCCACTGCTTCCGTCTTGTGGAGGGTCTCCCTCTATAACTTCTTTCTACTTTAGAGGTGCCCTCGTGGTATAGTAGTTAAACTCTGGGCTGTGATCCCCTAGGTGAGCAGTTTGAGCCCACAGGCCACTCTGCAGGGGAAGGATGCGACGTTCTACTTCTGGAAAGAGTCCTCTCAAATCCACAGGGGCAGTTCCCCCGTCCCATGGGGTCCGTATGAGTCGGCACAGGCTCAATGCATTTGGTTTACTTTCTACTTTACCGACGACAGCACTCAACCCAAACCAAACTCACCGCCATTGAGTCGATTGGGGTTCATAGCGACCCTGTAGGGCAGGGTAGAAATGCCGCTGCGGGTTTCCGAGACTGGCTCTTTCTTTACAAGAGCAGAAAGCCTCGTCTTTCGGCCGCAGAGCAGATGGTGGTTTCGAACTGCTGACCTTGCGTTTTGGAGCCCAGAGCTCCTAGGTAAGAGAACTCGCCCTGCCACACTGCACCCACCTGATAGTCTTGGTATGTCCGCGACCTACCACGACGACCCTGAGAAGTCGGGGGTGGTCGTTCCCATTTTAAAGTGATTAGACGGGGGCACAGCGAGGGGATTCACTGGGTCCAGGGCAGCTGACAACCATCGCCTGAGACGTGAAGCCGCTGAAAAATCCCCACCACCGCCACCCGCTTCCCTCGTTCCCTCCTTGGGAGGCCTTGTTGGTTCCCATGCCCCCTCCCCGCACGGCTCCTCTCGTTTCCCGCCTACCCACGCGGGCCTGTCTAGCCTCCACTAGCCACTCTATCGTTCCCACGCACGCCGGCCCATCTACCCACACGCGTCCTCTCGTTTCCCCGACAACCGGCCGCTCTGCCCACCGCCAACGTCTCTATGGTTACCGTCAACTTGTTACCGGCGCCCGGACGCTAAGCTCCCGGATCTGGGCTGCCCGCCTCCCGCAGCCGTGCGATGCAGCTTCTGCGCTTCCTTTCCGGTTCGGTCGGCCCGCGATGGCGGCCAGTGGGAGACTAGCTCCAGAGAAGGCCCGGCCCCTGCAAAGGCCCTGGGAAGAAGGTGCGTGTCCAGGTTCTCTGCGAGAGGGCTCCGGCTGGAAACTCGAGGCATCGAGCGAGAGGGTCCGCGGTCCCTTTAGGCCCCTTGCCTCCAAGAAGGGCCCCAAAGGTCACGCACCCTTTACATAGGAGTTTCCTGTTTCATCCCCCACCCCGCTGACAGCAACTGGGAGAAAGCATGAAGCTGGCAACTTCCC